TCTCTTTACCTGGGCGTGAGGCACTAGGATGATGGGCAAGAACACCTTGCACGGAGGGGAAGGCACAGACAAGGCTTCAAGGTCTCCGGCCCGGAGGGTGCGAGAGGAGAGAGCCTTCTCCTTCCAGAATCTTCTGCTCACCTGGAGCAGGTAGAAGAGGTGTTGGTATGCTTCTAGCTTCTGCCGTTTCTCTTTGCTCAGCGACTTCAGTCCCTTGTGCTTGTCCAGAACCATCATATCCGACAGCTGTTCCTTATTCTTCCTGGTCAGCTTCTTGCAGTGGGAGACCACCTCCTGCAGGGGTGGGGGAGCGGGTGATACCCCAGCCCAGGTCAGCAGAGTGCGGAACAGATGGTCTGGACTCAGCGCCTTGAAGGGCCAGGGCTTTCTGCTGTTCAAGGGGGACGAACGGTTCTGGGGTGGGAAGGGCCCTGAACACCATCTGGCCCCTCTGCTCGCACAGGTGTGAGGCCCCAGAGACTCGGGCGGCCAGGCTGAGGCACCGTGTCTGTCTTCGCCATTATTTCTCATTCATTAGACAGCTGTGCACATGTGAGGTGGAGCTCTCACTGTGTCCTAACGGCCCGCCTGCTGCATGGTGCGTTGTGACCTGAGGCGCCCCCACGGCTGTCTGCGTTTGGCCTGGTGGGAGAAGCTCGCCATTCCAAGCTTACTCGTGAGGAGGCTGGCTCAGAGGCCCATCACCGGGCACTAGCAGAGCCAGGCACGGGCAGAGCCGAGCATTCCAATTCTTTTTCTAAATTTCTGCTCTAGTGTACATGGACTTGCTGGAGACAGAGACAGGGAGAGGGAGGGAAGCCCCCAAGTGGGATGGCCATGTCACAATCCCTCTCCTCTTGGGCTTTTGGACACACATGCACACGTGCCTGGCATGTCTTTGAGCCACTGAGTCCAGGACTGGAGCCGTGCGGTCGGCCACGCGGGATCAAGCTGCCTTAAACTCCACCCTACCTGCTGGTCCCAGGCATTCCAATTCTACATGCAGGGTTCTTTCTACTCTATCATGTGTCCCCCAGAAGTGGCTCTCTAGAATGGCAGGGGCGCTGGGACAAGGTCCTGATGAAGTCCACAGTTGTACAGGACTTGACGTGCACCCAGAGAACGGCTCGCATGGCCTCTCAGGGTAGACCTGGGCGCCCTCACCTGCAGGGTGATTCGGTTCTTCACCAGCAAACCGATCTTGATGTCCATGAGGTTGAGATCTTGCTCCAGCTGCTGATTGGATCGGATCTTCCTGACCACCTCCTCCTGCAGCCTGAGCAACTCTGCCTCAGCCATGAAGTCCTCCTGGCTCTGGTTCAAGAGGTGGGCGAACCTGCGCACCACGCTGAGCGGGGGGTGGGGCGCGTGCACTGGCAGCAGGGAGGTGGTGGCATTAGGCATGCCCCCCCAGAGGCCTCCTCACCAGCCCCTGCCTGGTCCCCATCCTGCTCGGGGCTAGCAAGTCCCCAGCCCCAGGCCCCTTCCGGCTGCTTCTGCTTGCAGCTGGAGAGCGGCAGGCGGGCCACCCCAGGGCCCGGC